GCGTCACCCCAGGCAGCATAGTCAACTGTCTTCAGCCAGGAGACAAGGAAGGGGTGGAGGGGTGTCCCAGATGCCTGGGAGGGGAAGTGGGAGGGAGGACACGTTTCTGGAGTGGGCTGGCGCTGTGCTAAACTCTTTGCATGTTATCTTAATTAACCCTCCCAACAGCCTTGCCCCTTTCAAAGGTAAGGAAGCTGAGGCTCAGAAAGGTTGAATAATGTGCCCAAGGTCACATAATAACTGGGTGACCTAAGATTTGAACCCAGGAGGCCAAAGCGTATGCTGTCTCAAATGAGCCCTTGGTCTCCAGCAAAGTCTAATTCCCGGGTGACCTGCAGGGCCGCATTCTTTAATTTGGGGGTGCTGATACAAACTTCCTGTGGAAGCGGGAGCTGAGTGATGGCTCAGCACCCAATCAGCAGCCTGAGTTAGCTGTTCCACACGAGTGGTTACGCTGGCGCTCGCTTCCAATCCAGACATCCTGTTTCATCATTCCCACCTATTGTCTCACTCCTGGGTTTCTTGCCAAATGCCTTCCTTGCCACTCCCAGTTGGGGGGGAGGTGACAGGAACAGGCTGTAATGAGGAGTCTGTCAGACCTACTCATCTTCCAGAGACCCTCAAACCTGATGAACAACCAGCAGCTCTGGGACAGGCCAATTTCCACTCAATTTGGGGGACCCTAAAAAACCCCCTTTGAGTCTGATTACGGGTCAAATAATGATAATCGCTGGAGGGCACTGAGTGGCTTTCCGTGTGCCAAGCTTTGAGTTGTGTGCCATGCATGCATTGTTTCATGTAATCCTTAAAACAACCCTGTGAGGTAAGCATGATTGGTACGCCCATTTTCACGCAAGAGACCAAGCCTAGAGAAAGGTGTCTACACCCGTCTGCATCAGGAGTGTCTGAATCAAAGGCATAGAGAGGTGCCTGCCCTGCCACCCTCACTTACTCTTCTGTCCCTGCCCCCAGTGCCCTTGGCGTAGATTCCTTGATCCATGAGAAATCTCTCCTTCTTTTTTCTAAGGCTAAAGGAAATTCTGGCCAGGGTTGCAAAGTGGTGGTGAAGGAAATGTGTGCCTTGGGTGTACCCAGAGTCCCATTTGGGAGCTTTTACTCCATAAACCTTTTTACACAGAAATAAAAAGCTCTGTCCCCTGTTACAGGTATTTTATATTAGCAGTGGAGCCCATAAAGAAGGGGTGTGTGTGCACGCACGTCTGTGCCTGTGTGCGCACACGCGTGTATATGAGGGTGGGGTAGGAATTAGGCAAATAACCTCATAGACCTGCCCCCTGTTTCAATGGTCATATGTAGCTTCAGTGACTGCATTTTCTAAATCAAAAGTCAGGACACGTGGACTGGCCAATACAACTGTTTTTGAGGGGATAACACAGCAACAATGAAAGTGATGCCATCCACATGAGATGCGGAGGCTGTTGGCTAACAGTTCAACAGCGAAGCTCTGGTGTGCTTTTGGGGATGGCCAAGAGGCCTCTGGGAGAGACAAGATTTGGCTAAGAGTCGAGGCCTGAATATCTAAGTATAGGCCTGCTGACAGCCCACTAATGATTAACATTAATAATATGTAATTTTAAAGATGCTGTAACGGAAGATCTGATATTCCCAAAACATGCAAGGGAAACATTATAGCCTAAAGCTAGAGGGGAGATCCGAAACAATATCTTGTTTTAGGGGCTATTATGGGATGCATTACATTAATAATTGAATCTATTTATATACATACAAAATGTCATGAAGAACTGAGCCAGCCCTGCCCACACATGAGGCTGAAAAGATTACCTTTGCTTAAAATACTCAATGAGTGGAGATAAAAGTGATTTTTGTTTTTGCATGACATGAATTCAACAAACATGTACTATTTCCTACTATTACTACCTACTAGCTACTAGCTTCCAGATGCTGGGTGCCAGGCCCATGGAGGACTGAGACTAGGATTACAGTGATAATGGGGATGACAGGTACGCAGAGGATAATTATGACACCATGCAAGAGGGTTGCAGTACTGGTAAGTACAATATGCTGGGGAGTCCAGAGGATGATTAGGTAATTCTTGGAAGGGGGCTGGTATTTGTTTTCTATTGCTCCATAACAAATTACCATAAATTTAGTGGCTTAAAACAACAAACATTTGTTATCTCATAGTTTCTGTGCGTCAGGAGTCGGGCATGGCTTGGCTGGGTCCACTGCCTAGGGGCTCCCCAGGCTGTAATCAAGGTGTCCTTTGGGCTACATTCCTTTCTGGAGCTCAGGTCCTCTTCCAAGCTCATGTGGTTCTTGGCAGAATTTAGTTCCTTATGCTTGTATGATTGAAGTCCCTGTTTTCTCTCCAACTGTCAGTAAAGACCATTCTCAGCAACCAGAGGCTGCCATCAGGTCCTTGACACATGGCCCTTTCTATAGGCCCTCTCACAATGTGGCAGCTTATTTCTTCAAAGCCAGCAGGAGAGTCTCTCTGATTTCAGGGAGTGTCCCAATTCCTCTTTTGAAGGGCTCACCTGATTAGGTCAGACCTATGCAGGATAATCTCCTCTTTAATTAACTCAAAATCAGCTGATTAGGGTCCTTAATTACATCTGCAAAACCCCTTTTGCTATAATTAAGGGAGTGATAACACATTATAGTCACAGATCCTACCCACACTTGAGGGTATATAAGGGTATACAGGGCATGTGCACCAGATGGCAGGAATCTTGGGGCCCATCTTAGCATTCTGCCTCCCAAGGGTGGGGAGGGAGAAGGAAGAGGAAAGTGACAGAGTAGGTAACCGTTGTTGAGCTGAGTATTGAAGAATGAATTTAAGTGCTCCAGGCTGCCAAGGAGGGGAGGCGTTTCGGTAGGGAACAAGGAGGTGTGGGAAAGACATCATGGAAAGACAAGAGACCACAAACAAGGGTACAAGGGCATGGAGACACCTGTTGAGTGGCAGTGGAGTTGTCCAGTGGGGCCATAGGTTGAGGGTGGGGTTGAGAAAAGGTAGACAGACTGTTAAGTCACAAACACCATGTTCTTTCAATGAGTTCTTGGCCCCGACACCTGGTGACAGTACAGCATAGGCTGGAGACAAAAACTCTCACATAACAAAAATTTCATTGCAAGCTCCCTCACTTGCATTTCTCCGTCCCCACATCCCAACTCCTTTAGAAGGGTCCTTTCCCCGGAAGTGTCTCTCCAGGGATCCCTGACCTCATCTATCTGTGCATCACAGCTCTGCTGGTCTAATAAGATGAATATCCACACTCTTCTGGGACCCTTACTTCCGGGCTTCTAAGGGGGAACAGATTTCTTGCTTACTGAGTCAGCTCTGGAGGCTCTTTTTTCATGTGTGAAGAAGCCAAACAGTGGGCAGACTGGAGAGGATTAGAAGAAGCCAGAGATGCTAGTCAATCTACATAAGAATAAAGAGCCAAGAGAGAAGTCGGAAGAGAGAGAGAAATATCCTGGAGGGCTGGGCATCTGCAAGTTCTAGGAGGCTCGGAGCAGCTACAAGGTTCAGAGAGGAGAGGAAAGGAGAGGTTCAGAGAGTGGCTGTGTCTACTGATCAGATCCTTCGTTTTTATTTCCTTTTTTCCTCTTCTCAATATTTAAATAAAAATAGGAATTAATTTTTAAATTAGTTTTTAATTAGTTTAGATTATTTCTCCTGTGTACACGTGTTTTTTTTGGTTTTGTTCTGGAAGATGATACTGTGTAGATCCTGGGTGCCATGGGACCCCAGGTTTGGGTGACCTTAAAAGGAAAGGATCTGATAAATCACAGATGCCTTCATGTGACGTAGTTTAATATGTTACTACTCTTTGAAGCATTTAGTTAAAAGAGAGCTCCAAGGACAGAAACACTCTCCACCCTCCAGAAATGAACAGGTATTCGTAGAATTTCAGAGGTAATTGTAGGGGATGATGACTCTTTCTTCAAAAAAGCACAACCCAGTTTCATTCCATCTTATCTGTACTCTTCATGTAATTTCTCTAACCTCTGGTTCCTGGGGTCAGCTGTGTTTCCTTCCTTGGAATTTATATCTGGTACCTAGTGATCAAGACAACAAACCTGTAACTACGTATTTTTTAGGGAAAAAATGTTTTGCCCTGCGTTCCCTCAAGCAGAAAAAGAACAAATCACTCAGCTGCCTCAGCTGGACAGAATTTCTGCCCCTCATACCTGTGAGCAGTGCTCATTGCTTCCAGACAAGGTCAAGGCCCTGAGGCCTACAGAACAGTCAGCCAAATTCACTCCTCTTGACTTCTTAGCACAACCTCCTTATCCCCAGATTGTGTGTGTTTGGTTGGACTAAAGTAAACATAGTCGGATTTTGTTTTTGTTGTTGCGGTTTGTTAGTTTTGCAGAATGGGATTCTAAAGGGGGGGGCATCCCAGCCACCCTCGACTCCATATTGGCCAGGGAGAAGTGGTGTGGAGGGCAGTGAGGAGGAACTGTGAGGTAGAATGGGGACTGGTGTGGGAACTGACTTCCTCCCGAAAAGCCTGGAACATCCTTCTCAAAGCTCCACACAGCCAAGCTCCTTGAGCCAGCTCCCAGCCATTTCCTTGATACGTTCTCCTCAGAGCAGGGCTCCACATGGTGCACACATACAGCCCGTGCGCGCACGCACACACACACACACACACACACACACACGTCTCTGTCTGGTGACAGATTGGGCCTGAAGAATCTGGCAGTCTGCGTGGCCGATGGCAGAGAGTCGAGCCTGTTCTCGCTGTCTCCCTGGAGTCCCGCTGCAGACGCAGGTGCGCGTCAGTGCCGGCTCTAATTTTATCCCTGGTTGATGGAGGAGACTAACTGAGCAGCAGGGAGGCTGCTATTTTGGGTCTTCTGTGGCTCTGGGTTATATAAAGCCTATTGCCGTGACCTGCATTGCTTTGTGGCTGTGCCTCACTCTTGCGCGTTCTGTCACAATATGTCATCGGTTCAGACACTCACACACACACCCCCCCCCCCCCCCCCCCGGGGCTCTTGGGGAATGAGAAGGGAGGTGTGTGCTGAAGGAGTGTGTGTGTGCTCCTGCCAGCTTGCTGCGGGAGGAGGCCTGCATATACCACTGGGAGGGGGCATTGTACGTGAAGGAGGTTTGTTTTTGAAGGAAATGGAAAGATCTTTCTGATGGAGGAACGTGAGTGTACGTGCTTCGGGCTTTAGGACGGAGCGTGTTTGTGAGATGGTGTTGTGGGTCTGCTGTTGGCATGGCGATAAGAATAACTTCTATTTCGGTAACTCTTTTCATTTCGAAGGAACCCAAGAGTTTCATAAATTATACACAAACGGCTCTGCCTCTGGATGGCAGGATTTTTTTGGCCTGGAATTAGGAACAGCAGCTAGATGAACAAATGTGAAAGCCTGAATTTGGGGATGGGTTGATGGCAGAAGACGGCATTTCCTACATCACTGGGGACAAATCTTACCTGGAAAATTTTTCTCATAGATCAAAAACGCCTTATGGTGATAGTATTGTGACTGTTGTGTAAAGATAGGTACTGGCTGGAGTTAGTCATCTATGATATCCAATTTATCTCCTAGTATTTAATCTTAATAAATATTTTTAGATATGTAAATTTTGATGGTTGAACATACAACAGAATCCTGATATAATACAGCTCATTGGTCTATGAATTTGAACGAACCAGGTTTCCCAAAATATAAATTATTCACACAGAACAAGCCTAACAGAGCTCGATGAGCTTCTTACACAGGTATTTGTCCTGTCCCCAGTACAAGCAGAGGAAAGGAGATGTCCTATACTTGGTGGGTTACGTGTCTCCCATATATAATCTCCAGGGGTATATTCTGGCTGATATGATGGAGCCCATAAGGCATTACCCAAGGGAACGATGATTTGGCAAGTACACAGCTCAGCTCTTGGAGCCTGACAGAGTGTGAGGCCTTAGGATGGCACTCGTGTTTCTCATTCGACTTTTCCTGTCACTGTCATCAGCAGCTACCACAGCAGGTGGGACTCTCGTTTCTAGTAACTTGACTGAGACTCTCTTTCTTGGCTGCTCTTTGAAAGGCGTTGAAGACCCTTCTCTTCCACTGTTCAAAGCACTTGTAAGGGATTTTATTTTTTACTTATTTTTTTATTTTCTTTTGAGGAAGATTAGCCCTGAGCTAACTACTGCCAATCCTCCTCTTTTTGCTGAGGAAGACTGGCCCTGAGCTAACATCCGTGCCCATCTTCCTCTACTTTATATGTGGGACGCCTACCACAGCATGGCGTGCCAAGCGGTGCCATGTCTGCACCCGGGATCCGAACCTGAGAACCCCGGGCCGCTGAGAAGCGGAACGTGTGAACTTAACTGCTGCGCCACCAGGCCGGGCCTGTAAGGGATTTTAGAGAGAAAATCTTGGGAGTTTTCTATGAAGAAAACCAGAAGAATCTGGCAGCCTGCTACCGAGGGCTGAAGGGAACTGGCACCTCAGAGCATTCCGGCGAAGGGAGCTGCTGAGGGAAGAAGGAAAGGGAACCAGACCAGAACCAAAGACAGAGCTTGGAGGGGCCCGATGGGGAAATGAAGCCGGGAACGGGGAAGGCATAAATGATCACTGCGTGTCTCTTTTATTAATAATTGACTTAAGCAGAATCTCACCACGCACGCCCCTCCCTCCGCCCCGGCTGGGGGCAGGAGCTCACTCCTCTGGCTCCTTGGTGGTCTCCTCGCTGCCCTCCATGCTCCCCTGCCCCCCAAAGTGATCTTTCTAAAACGTAAATCTGATCACCCCATTCTGTAAACTGCTCCAGAGTCTTTTCATTTCTCTCTCTGGAGGAAACCCAAATGCTTTAGCAGGCAGACAAGGCTCTCTGTGATCTGGAGCCTGCTTATCTCTCTGGCTTAGGTCACATAGCAGCCTTCCCAACCCTCCCCGACGTGGGCCTCCTCCAGCCCCCCTCATTCTACTCTCTGACACCTTAAACTTTACTGAACCGCTTGCAATCCCCTGAATGTGCTTAACTCTCTTGTCCTCTATGTGTTAGCATGGACCATTCCATCTATATGGAATGCCTTTCCAGTCTTTTTTTTTTTCCCTGAGCTTCCTTCAGCCCTCAATTCAAGCATCTCCTTCTCCAGGAAGTTGTGTTAACCCTCTGTGTCTGGATCAGGGCTCTCTCCTCTGGCATCTTCGCTCACCTCTGTCGTAGTGCTTAAATGCTCTGCAGTCTGTCCTGTCTAGACGATGGGACTAGACCTGCCCCACTGCTCAGCCTGCAACAGCACGTGTTTGTTGAATGAATGACTGAATTTGAGCAGAAGCCACATTTCAGAGCTAAAAGTTCCATAACTTGGCATGAGGGGTAGGGTTGGTGGGAAATATTGATGAAGTTGAAGAAGAAAGGCCAGGTCCTGGGAAATCTAATCATGAACAACTCCAGCGGGCCCACAATTGTCTGTCTCCGAAGCCTGAGACAGATAGGGCTCTCCTGCCCTACCGTGTGTCAGGCAAGTAGGACTGTGGCTCAGGGTAGAGCAGTTAGTGTGACGCCTCTGCCATCACGGTGGTCAGCCATCACTGCTCAGCATCTTTCCCACAGTCTACACAGGGTCTGCTTTTTCTGCCCTCCACTCCACCATGCATCTGTGAGGTACAGGGATGGGACTTGCATACGGACCTCAGTGTCCCTCACGGAGGACCACAGGCCTCCGTCCGTGCCCTCCCCGTGGTCCCTCCAAGGAACTGCCAAGGCCACTGTGATTCTACCGTGGTCATCAGAACCTCACCACTCCATCCCACTGGGCTGGCTGCTCACTCTGCTGTGCCACACCCTGGAGAGACTGGCCTTGGGCACAGGAGAGAAGCCAGCATGCTGAGCAGCTTATACTTGACCGAAATAGATGAGGCCACCTTGGGTCAGGGAATTCAGCTCAGCAGTTCTGGTGGTAGCAGACACTTGAGATTTTTGAAGAAACAGAGGCAGGATTAGAGGAGGCCTCATACTATAAATCAGATGTCAAATGTACCGAGAGAGGCTCTTCGATTAAATCCTTGATGTTGCCATGTTATGGGAAATAATTTTTTTTTAAAGATTTTATTTTTCCTTTTTCTCCCCAAAGTCCCCTGGGTACATAGTTGCATACTTTTAGTTGTGGGTCCTTCTAGTTGTGGCATGTGGGATGTCACCTCAGCGTGGCTTGATGAGGGGTGCCATGTCCACGCCCAGGATTCGAACCCGCGAAACCCTGGGCCACCGAAGTGGACCATGTGAACTTAACCACTCGGCCATGGGGCTGGCCCCATGGAAATAGTTTTTTAGAATATGGTTAATCACCACTTAATTCATCTATTTTAATGTTCGCACTTTCATTTATTGGGCTTTATTAAAGTAGGGTCTACTTTGTCTATACTCTCAGGGCATCACTGCCCCAAATATTTTCACTTCATACAGTGTTGGAAACTGCCTACTGGTTTTCCAAAAAGCAATCCATGTGCGTGTACACACACGCATGTTATCCTAAGTCCTTGTCCCCGTTCTCAGAGTGGCCCCATCAGAACAGAATACTGATGATATTAACCCAGGAATAAACTGGCTATGGGGGAAATAGGAACATAATTGGCATTTTCTGGGAAAGTTTCAGAATTTTAAACAATGCCTTTTTTAGGCTCATGAATCTGATAGACACACGCCCTGCTGTGACAAAGAGGGAGCGAGAGAGAGACCTGCGTGCATGGGAGCCAGAGGGACGGAGAGGAAGGGAGGACGGCTGTTGGCGTGCTCACAGTTTTGGAACAGCTGCAGTGGTAAGAGTAGCTCCCCCTGAATGAGATGACGCTGGGCCACTTAGGGGAAAGGGAGGGAAGATTCCACGGCCGATGATGAGGGCGGGGGGGGGGCGGGGGCGCTCGGTTTACCGGGTGGGTGGCTATCAAACGGATTATCTGTATTAGGCACTATTACCATCACCCAGAAAGGCATGTGCTTTAATTGCCAAGAAACTAATAATAAATTGGAACACTGTCCAGGGATGAGAACAAGTTAAAACAATACATTCTGTGCTCGATATGGAAAATACTTCAACACTAGTAGCACATCTGGCTTATTAGGGGCATGATAAGACAGAAATTATAGAGGATCTTGTATTTGTCACTTATTTTGGTGTCTTTTATTTTTTATTTTATTTTTTTTAAAGATTTTATTTTTTCCTTTTTCTCCCCAAAGCCCCCCAGTACATAGTTGTATATTGTTCACCGTGGGTCCTTCTAATTGTGGTATGTGGGACGCTGCCTCAGCGTGGTTTGATGAGCAGTGCCATGTCCGCGCCCAGGATTCGAAACAATGAAACACTGGGCCGCCTGCAGTGGAGCGCATGAACTTAACCACTCGGCCACGGGGCCAGCCCCTATTTTGGTGTCTTTTAAAAGTCACCTACCAGGGCTCTCCACAGTGAGGATACTAGCTAATGTTTATTGTGTGCTAACTGCATGCTCATTGCTCTTCTAAATGTTCTCTAATCATCAACTTACGTAATCCTTGCAACTTTTTGAGGTGGGTACTCTTAATATTCCATTTTACAGATGGAGAAATGAAGCCTCAGAGAGATGAAGTAACATGCCCAAGACCAGACAGCCAGTCAGTGGAAGAGCTAAGATTTGACCTAGGCAGTCTGGCTCTAGATCCCAAACTTGTAATCACTATTGTAAGCCACCTTTGTAGTAGCCCATGTACCCTTTTAAAACTGTCTGTAGGGGGCCAGCCCCGTGGTCAAGTGCTTAAGTTCCGTGTTCCGCTTCAGCGGCCAGGGTTTCACCGGTTCAGCTCCTGGGTGCTGACTGCTCGTCAAGCCATGCTGAGGTGGCCCACATAGCAGAACTAGAAGGACCTGCAACCAGAATATGCAACTATGTACTGGGGGGCTTTGGGGAGAAGAAGAAGAAGAAGAAAGATTGGCAACAGATGTTAGCTCAGGGCTAATCTTTAAAATAAAACCCAAAACTGTCTGTCAATGGTATGCAGGGTGTATGTTTTGCCTCAATGCATAACAATGACAGAAACTATGTGGAAATCCTGTATGAGTGTCACCATGACATCATTATTAATAAATGCTTATGGACCAGGTCAGTCACGTCACCTTTAGGGCTGAGCAGCAAATCCACACAGGACTCAGAGTGAGTTTCATTTCTGGATGCGCTGCCCCAAAGTATTCAACGAGCGATTCCTTCATCTGGTCACTCAATAAATGTTTATTAAGCACTTAGTCTGTGCCGGGCACTTTGGACACACTGTACTAGGCTCTAGGGAAAAATACCGAGACTAAGGCCCAGTCCTTGCCCTCTAGGAGCATGTGATACATGGACATCTCTCAACCAATGGCCAACGGGGAAAAGGTGTAACAATATCCTAAGGGCTGATGACCACCTGTTGTCCATTTGTTACCTGCCTCAGACGTGTGGGTAATTCCTGTTTGCTGGAGGCCCCAGGGGCAGCTCAACCATCAGCTTGAGGAGCTGCCATCCCTGAGAGTCACCTGTGTCCAGAAATGTTTTCCCAGGGGTCTGCCAAGAGCTTGAATTTCTTGTCAGGGAAGTGACATGGAAGGGTGTCAAAGATGGCGGCTAAGACAGGCAATTGTGAACGGCATGTGTAACGTGAACTCACGGTGGTTTAAACATACAGAATAAATACATAGAAAAGTTTAGGGCTAGTTTCTAGGGAGCAGCTTGTGGAACTGAAAAGTCCAGGAGGAGTCTGTGTCAGGCAAGTCTTCATCTAGGTGCTCTAGGACCCACCTAGGATGTGAGAGGTAGAGTCAACTCCACTTAAAGCTCGGGGTGGGGGCGCTGTAAGAGCAGGAATGGGTGATTCCCTGGAGGAAAAGGGGAGTCCAGTTACCAGGAGAAATATGAACGAATGTTGGGTGGCAAAACAAGAGGAAAAGGTACAGTTGGGGGAGGGCCATATCTCCCCAATTGATTTGTTTCCTTGAAAGTTTCCTTGTAGATACCCCTCACATCAGACCCACCCTGGAGTAGAGTGAAGAAACGACAAACGTGCCTCATGCTCAGGCTAGGGCTGATTATGAAGAAACATCTATATGGGGAGTAGCCAGGACTAGCGACCTGGAATCAGGAGAATCGCGCAGGGAGGACTATGTGAAAGTAAAGGCTCGAATATATAGAAGGCCAAACTCAAGGGGTCAGGAACCTATCCCTGTGTCCAAGGGTGTGACAGCTTTGTGACTGCCTTTTAGAGACATACAATATAAGCCTGGAATCTCAGATGCCCCGGGGCAGGCAGATCAAGCAAATGAGGGCAATGGGCTGCTGCAAAGAACCAAAGCCACGTGCCCACTTAAAGGGGGCAGCCGTCACCCCCAGCACCATTTTTCCCCCAAGGAAGGCTGTACATCCAGATTGGATGTGCGTGCGCACACGTGTGAAATCTCTCTGTTTTTAAACATTGGCAACGAGGCAAATTTTAAAATACATTATGTGGGTCGGAACAGAAAAACACGTCAATGGGCCAGAATCTGATTGTGGACCCCCGAATGTATGTAATCTGATAGATCCATATTGTCATAGAGAGAATGAAAGTCCCTTCTCCATTTGTGCAACATCAAATCTGTGTGTAAATCTACGCCCAGATCAACAAACACCCAATGACAGCCCACTGCCCGAAGTTCAGCCCTTTCATCTACACTATCTAACTAGAATCTGAAAAACACCGTGTGGGCCACGAAAGGAGAGGGAACATCGCTGTGAGAACTGCACTTTCATTTCCTGGCGGGGGTGTGGTTAAATTCACAACTTCAGTGTGACACTAACCGTCGGAGGGTTTTACATTCGATTTCCTGTTTCCTTTTCTTAATAAAGAAAGGAAAAGCGGGCCCCCGCAACGGTGCACTGAGTTCCATAGGAAGACACCATGGGGGTTCCGACTTGGCCACAAACAAAAACAAAGAGTAACCCCGAAACCTGGTAACTCCGAAACCTGGTAAATAGCAATATGCAGAAGACCATGGGTCATGTGATTGCTTAGGATTGTTTTGATCATCTCCTGGAGCAATTTTCCACCTCATGTTCATTAGACCAGCGACCAAGGTCCTCCATTTTTGAGTTGCTGGAACCATTTCCCAAGACAGGTTTGGAAAATAGTAATGGTGATCATGATAATGATGGTGGCTATCGTGTGCTGAGGACTGTGAGAGGACCTGCCTCGCATGTCTCTAATCTCACATAAGCTCTCCAAGAACTATCTTCATTTTACTGATAAGGACACGGAGACTTGGCGGACTTATGATAATTTGTCCAAGTGCCTCATAAGTGATGGAGCCGGAGTTACAATCTTACATTCCTCAAATATTTATCAGTCACCTGTTTATTGGGCCAGGCACTACAAAAAGATTTACAGTTGAAAGCAGCTGAGCTCAAAATGATTCTCACTTGTTGAAAATGACCTCTGCGTAGAGGCCACCTTTGGAATATTTATCTTGAGTTTTCTTTTATTTGTTCAGACACTTAGTGAGCATCTACTGCGTCCACAGTTCTAGGCTGAAGGGAATATCCTGATCCTGACTTTTGAAAGCTTGTAGTTTGGTTGCGGAGGCAGAGCCTATGCAATAAAACATTTCAATAATAATACAAGATAATGCATAATTAAGTGCCAAAGTAAATGGTCCACAAGAAAAAGTTCAGAGAGATGAGAGACTACTTTGGGCTGGGATGGTGGGACAGCGGACTGGAGGAGAGGGTCTTTGAGGAATGGGTAGAGTGGAGGTGACATCCTCCATAGGTGCGCAGGAGAAAGGGCAAAGCACAGCGTAAGCAAAGGAGTGTACAGGAGGAAGGAAGAGGATGATGCTGTATAATCTGGTGTGTAAGCACTCAGTTTGGGCAGTCACATCGTAAGGTCCAGGATGTGAATCCAAGCTCGACAGCTTTCTACTTGTGTGATCCTGGATCAATTATTTTACTTGTCTTAAGCCTCAGTTTCCTAACCTGTGAAATGGGCATCATGAATGAAATGAGGCAGATAAAACAGGGTGTGGCACACGGTGAGCCCGCAGTGCAGCTACTATTTATTGATACGGTCTCTTCGTGGGGGTACCTTGCAGCTGTTCCATCTGAATAGTGGAGAGAGATGTGTGGCCAACCTGAAACCATAACGTAAGAGCCCAAAGGAGGACTGGAAACTCTACAGCCGTGAACTAAAAGCAGCGAGTATCAGCCCCAGAATCGGATAACACAAGCAAACCACAAATGCGCTGCTCAGGTCTTCAAAGTTCTCCGGCAGCGCAGGACTCACTGTAACTTACTTTGTGTGATGGAGTCAAACCAGATTTTTTTTTTTTCTTTTTCTCATCAGACTTCACAGGAAGTATACTCCTTTGTTCAGATTTGAGATAAGCACCCTCTCACCTTGACTGTCCTTTGCAGCACTAACACACCCATTAAGTCCCTCACTTTCTATCCTAGGCCCATATCATCAGCAGCTTATATTTAGAAGGGCGTGAGTTTGTATTGCCCTTATGTTAGAAGTCAAATAGAAATGAAATCTATTAAGACATGTTTGTAGTCAGACTGAGATGATAATCTAAGAAAAGGAGGTGAGAGTCTCCAGGGGGACGCAGCCAAGGGCGGTGGACTTTTTTAAAGCTTGTTTATTTGGCCATCAGTAATCCCCTAAATTGCTCTTGCTCAATAATTATTTTAGGTTTCATGACTTTCAACCTAACCTTTGTGCCCAGTAGGAAGGAGCTGTACTGTGGTGTTGCAGCTGTTACGAATTAATAGCTTTGGCTCCC